CCTTAATGTTGTTGTTCTTTCTAGCCTTACCCTCAATTCCCTTTCGATTGCGGTTCCTCTTGATGTATAAGACCGCTTGTTTTTGTGAATGTGGGGAGTCTCTAAATGGCTAGGCCCTGGCACTGACTCAAGTACGATGTCATCTAATATAAAATATTAAAAATAATAATTATTAGCTAATTATGCATTATATCATGTTTACNTTTAAAATATTTTTAAAATGTGTCCTGTTAGCGTACTTATCACCCTGTTTTTTAATAAACTTTAGCAATTCGGAATAAATCTACTTTAACCAATCGTTGACTCACCCTGTACAAATTATTATAATTTTTTACCTTTAGCAGAAAACTTTTTTAGGCCGCCTATGAAACTCTTTAAATTTTATTGTTAGGTATTTGTATACATGTTCAACTGATTCGGAAAGACTACACAAAGGATGCCAATACGGGTGATTTGAGGCGATTGAAAGGTCAGCGTTAAGTGAGCCCATAATTTTGTCACCCAATTTTATGAAAAAAATAATAAAATTTGAAAACATTCATGGCACACAAACCGATATGTAAAAACATGTTTTTCGCCAAAATTTCATTGCGATAGGTGCATTAGTTGAAGAGATATTCAAGAAAAGTAGGGTGAGCCCATAATTTTGTGTCACACTGTACACTAAATTTAATCGTAACGAAACGTTAAAACAAATACCTCACTGTATATTAAAGTAAACTATAATAGTAGCTGTTTCCTTTAAACAATATTTCGATGTAAATTCTATTACCCCGTACATTCGTTGTCGTCTTTAAAAAGATCAAACAGTCCAGATAAAATCAATTACCTCCGATGCTTCGGACACAATATATCGTAGAAGACCGTCGTTCCCGTTCAGGAGGAAATAGCGGGCGATATGGAGAATTTTGGGTTTCTCAGACCGAAGGCAAGGCGGCAGGCGAGCCTAGATATTACATTCCGCCGTTCGAAATGCGAAATGCGTGAGTTATCGATCTGCAAAAGGACGCACCACGAGCCCTGGCATCGCGTAGCCCCGTCGCCGTCCAATCAGCTAAGTCGAAGGGGAGGGGAGAAATTTCAGTAATTACACATCCGATGGTGAGGTAATTCGGTTTGCCGGCTCGTCAACGGAGGAATTGGCCATTGTCTAAAATCTGTATCATATAAGCGCCAACCCCACGGCGTTCTTCTTGTTGCTTTTTATTTGATTGGATCTGCCCGCGGCGCACGACGTTGGGTGTACATGGGAAAAAGTGCTAATCCTTGGGTTATGGGAAGCGCTTGGAGATCTTATCCGACCGACCAACTGAGGACCAACGTTTTTTATCCGACGATTTTAAGGGGAGTTCCGTAATAACGTTTTATTGGCTATTTTACACTTTCCGTTTCTTTTTTCTAAACAAGGGTGTCTTGATGTTATTATGACAAGCCAACGATGATGTTGATGGCACGATAAACCTAATGTTTCTTCGCCAGTGGAATATTTTTTTATTACTGTGCAACTTTACGACCTGTCAGAGTTAGATTAGATGTTAGAAATGATAACCAACAAAAATTCTTTTGTAACAACTGATAATAAGGAACACCTTGTCCTCTTTAAAACTACCAGTGGTCGGAATAATCGGTTTGCAACAATTACTTACATTAGTTAGTTGAATACAAGAAATTCAGAACAGAAAACAGTATTTTTATTACACTCCTGAATATGTAGTGTTTTCTATTCATGACATAACTCCAAGAAGTTGTTTATTGGTTAATTTATACCAAGAATACTTTTCGAGATACAGAGCACCGTCATTAGGGATTCTAAAAATTCGACGCTACTGAGTAGATATGTTGCAAATTGGATAAGTGCATTTAATTGATAAGATACCTTTATTTACCATGTTCGAATTATTTTGTAATTCTAAAATAAGTTTATCGCAGGAATTAAATAATAATAATTAATAATAATCATAACCATCAAAAGTAAAAAAAGTATTGTCCAAGAAATTTAAAATTGTCTAAAGAAAAAATATAATAAAAAAAATTAAGATACCTGTCTTAATTAATTATATCATTAGCTTAAATTTTAGCAATCTGAGTTAAACATCTTTATCTCGAAAACTAGTGGGTTTAGACCCTTTGTTTATAAAAACTTTTCATTTAAATAATTCAAGAAACAACCCCCTGAAATATACCATGTGCTACAAAACACCTTGTGTAGCTCGTGGTCAGGAAGAATGTCTGTTCTGTTATACCTATGGTATAGTCTTTCCTATCTCAATTGAAGAACCAAGAGGTTGGCAGTATGTACCAAGTTCGGTCGCTACGCAACCACTCGGAATTGGAATATTTGAAAAACTTGTTTCCATTTTTAATTTGGCCATACCCATGTACAGGTCTAGTCGCCTAGTTGAGGAATGAGCGCGCGGGCAAACGCGGCACAAACACAGCCGCGCAAAGCCACTTGGCCATAAATTCGGTTGTGAACAAATAGCTTAGCAGTGCAGTGCAGCAATGCGGAATTTGTTGTGATTCAAGTAATTTTATTTAATTAATAGGTACCTTCCATTAATAATTGATATTACAATTGCGAAAGGAAGAAATAAGAGGCATATTTTGTTTACTAATATTATCACAACATGGCATTTTGGAGACCTTTTGAAACGGAACAAAACGAAATTTACCATCAATATAATAAAACTGTTTGAGGACATAAATAATTAAAATATGTTGTTGGTCAAATGAACATATAATAGAAATTTTCTACACATTATATACAAATTATTATAATTTTTTACCTTTAGCAGAA